CTATTTGGAACATTAGTGTAATATATCAGAAAGAGATTATTTTTAATTGGATTTAAATTAAGGTATTGTACAACCTAGAGCCCATGTGTTTTCTATAAAGATTTGGGTGTAGTACTTGTGCTACAGCAATTGTGTGCTGTACACACTATTATTAGTCCCCCACCGGGAACCGGGGGGAATATACATGTAGTTTTGCGTCATATCTGTCTGTCCTTCCTTCCGTCTTTCCTCTATCTTGTCCTGGCTCCATCTCCTACACTACTAGTCACTGGAACTTCATTCTTTGGGTATGGATTCACCTTGGTGAGGCGCTGTGTCGTATATCAAAAGTAGGTCACTCGGACCTACATTTTGACCTTTGCCCTACATCAAAGAAACAGTTTGTCCGTGCTCTATCTCCTACACTTCTAGTTACTGGAACTTCTTGCTTGGGGCATAGGTGCACTTGCATTGAAGGAAAAGCATACATAGTGTCACCAGATGCAATTTAATAGAAAAACGATACCACTCAAGTAAACATCCACCAGATTTAATTGCAATAGTAGCACTGACATTATTCCTTATTGAATACGATGGGTCTGTCAAACATTCATATATAGAATTAGTTCCTACACAAATTTATCATCTGTGCATTTCACATTCGGTGGGGGACTATAAGTGGCCGAAGAATTGTCTTGTTCTATTGGGAACATTTATATAATAAATCAGAAAGAGATTAATTTTAATTGGATATAAATTTAGGTATTGCACAACCTAGAGCCCATGTGTTTACTATAAAGATTTGGGTGTAGTACTTGTGCTACAGCAATTGTGTATCTGTATATATACTCCTTTGGTGCCTACTGAAGTAAGTGATACTGAGTTACGCAAACAATTCTATTAGGAACATTAATGTAATATATCAGATAGAGATGTTTTTAATTGAATATAAATGTTGGTATTGCACAACCTAGAGCCCATGTGTTTACTATAAAGATTTGGGTGTAGTACTTGTGCTACAGCAATTGTGTGCTGTACACAATTATAAGTCGCCCACTAGGAACCGGTACGGAATATAGTTTTGCATCATTTCTGTCCGTCCTTCCGCTATCTTGTCCGGGCTCTTATCTCCTACACTACTTGTCACTTGAACTACATACTTGGGGTATGGGTTCACCTTGGTGAGGCGCTGTGTCCTGTATCAAAAGTAGGTCACTCAGACCTACATTTTGACCTTTGACCTACATCAAAGAAAAAGTTTGTCCGGGTTCTATCTCCTACACTTCTAGATACTGGAACTTCTTACTTGGGCATAGGTTCACTTGCATTGAAGGAAAAGCATACATAGTGTCACCAGATGTAATTTAATAGAAAAACGGTACCATTAACCAGTAAACATCCACCAGATTTATTTGCAATAGTAGCACTGACACTATTACTTATTGAATACGGTGGGTTTGTCAAACATTCATATATAGAATTAGTTCCTGCACAAATTTATCATCTGTGCATTTCACATTCGGTGGGGGACTATAATTCGCGGAATTGTCTTGTTCTATTAGGAACATTAATGTAATAAATCAGAAAGAGATTAATTCTAATTGGATATAAATTTAGGTATTGCACAACCTAGAGCCCATGTGTTTACTATAAAGATTTGGGTGTAGTACTTGTGCTACAGCAATTGTGTATCTGTCTATATACTCCTTTGGTGCCTACTGAAGTGAGTGATACTGAGTTACACAAACAATTCTATTTGGAACATTAGTGTAATATATCAGATAGAGATGTTTTTAATTGAATATAAATTTAGGTATTGCACAACCTAGAGCCCATGTGTTTACTACAAAGATTTGGGTGTAGTACTTGTGCTACATCAAATGTGTTTAACTTGAGCACATTCTAGAGCCCATGTGTTTACTATAAAGATTTGGGTGTAGTACTTGTGCTACAGCAATTGTGTGCTGTACACTATTATTAGTCCCCCACCGGGAACCGGGGGGAATATACATGTAGTTTTGCATCATATCTGTCTGTCCTTCCTTCTGTCCTTCCTCTATCTTGTCCTGGCTCCATCTCCTACACTACTTTTCACTGGAACTTCATTCTTTGGGTATGGATTCACCTTGGTGAGGCTCTGTGTCATATATCAAAAGTAGGTCACTCAGACCTACATTTTGACCTTTGACCTACATCAAAGAAAAAGTTTGTCCGTGCTCTATCTCCTACACTTCTAGTTACTGGAACTTCTTGCTTGGGGCATAGGTGCACTTGCATTGAAGGAAAAGCATACATAGTGTCACCAGATGCAATTTAATAGAAAAACGATACCACTCAAGTAAACATCCACCAGATTTATTTGCAATAGTAGCACTGACATTATTCCTTATTGAATACGATGGGTCTGTCAAACATTCATATATAGAATTAGTTCCTACACAAATTTATCATCTGTGCATTTCACATTCGGTGGGGGACTTTAAGTGGCCGAAGAATTGTCTTGTTCTATTAGGAACATTTATGTGATAAATCAGAAAGAGATTAATTTTAATTGAATTTAAATTTAGGAATTGCACAACCTAGAGCCCATGTGTTTACTATAAAGATTTGGGTGTAGTACTTGTGCTACAGCAATTGTGTATCTGTACACTATTTTTAGTCTCCCAATGGGAACCGAGGGGGAAATATAGTTTTGTGTCATATCTGACCATCCTTCCTTCCGTCCTTCCGCTATCTTGTCCAGGCTCTATCTCCTACACTACTAGTCACTGGAACTTCTAGCTTGGGGCATAGGTTCACTTGCATTGATCGTGAAGAAGAAGCATGCATAGTGTCACCAGATGCAATTTAATAGTAAAACGGTACCACTTACCAGTAAACATCCACCAGATTTATTTTCAATAATAGCACTGACACTATTCCTTATTGAATACGATGGGTCTGTCGAACATTCATATATAGAATTAGTTCCTGCACAAATTTATCATCTGTGCATTTCACATTCGGTGGGGGACTATAAGTGGCCGAATTGTCTTGTTCTGTAATAAGAACATTTATGTAATAAATCAGAAAGAGATTAATTTTAATTGGATTTAAATTTAGGCATTGCACAACCTAGAGCCCATGTGTTTACTATAAAGATTTGGGTGTAGTACTTGTGCTACAGCAATTGTGTATCTGTATATATACTCCTTTGGTGCCTACTGAAGTAAGTGATACTGAGTTACACAAACAATTCTATTTGGAACATTAATGTAATAAATCCGAAAGAGATTAATTTTAATTGGATTTAAATTTTGGTATTGCACAATGTATAGCCCATGTGTTTACTATAAAGATTTGGGTGTAGTACTTGTGCTACATGATAGGAGCAAGTTCAGGTGTATTCAAAATTTATCATTTATTGTCTTATTTTTGCTTTATAGTCTACTTTTTTCTGCATATTAAGTTTTTTAACAAAATACTGGCTACCTACAGAAATTAGAACTTGAAAATCTTGAAATTTACAAAATACTAGCTATTACAAAACACTTTTGACTAAATGTTTTATTGCAATAACATTAATATATAACAATTAAATAGCGCTAGCTCTATACAGTTTGCAAAATTACTGGACGGTGCTATACAATACTTGAAAAATAGTATTCCTACAGACTGAGACAGTAACAGAAATAGAAGTTAAAAAAAGGCATAATTATTTAGTGTAGATGGTCACATAATCATACACAGGCACTGGTGTAGGCAGGGCAAATGAGGCCAGCATCATAAGTGTGAGAAATCGTATCAAAGGACCTTTCTGTTTACTATATGCATTAGGTATATGGTGATTTAAAACATTTTCTCCCACACCCACTGTAGTTACCTCATTCATGACTCATTGGATAAACCTGCTAGGAGTTGGTAAACATGTTTGGTTACACACTAGTGGGTAACACTCTAGACATGATTTCATTGGTCAATCTTTGATTTATGACGACACGTAATAATGCTTTTCGATTATCTAACTCGTTAGTAAGATAAACAGGATAACCAACCACCACTTGTTGGGGAACCTCTACTTAACACTTCACTTCAATTGGTGTTTAGCAAGCAAGTTTCTAAGCGTCTAAAACCTGGGTGTAAAGGTAAATATACTTGATAAACAACAACAATCATCTGCTCTGATTCTCTGGAAAATTTTCATCCTGTCTGATGTGATTGTGGGTGATATTATTATAATTACATAAACACAGAAAGTATGCAATCCACAAAGAGCAGGAGATGAATCCCATTTAGAGAAATGTAGCACTATTTCTGAAAAAAGGTAAATATAATAATATTGACCCCAAGTGATCGATCCCTGTAACTTGTGGAGTTCCAATTATTTAGACGCAATATTTCAATTGTGTTAAATCATATATAGTTATAAACATGTACAAAAACATGACTGTTCACTCACAAAGCATATATTTAGGGGAGCCAGTAAAACAGATATTTGCGACAGTATAATCACGATATACTGCCACAGATTTCAAAATACAGTAAGGTTATCCTCATTCTAATTAATGTCAATTAAAACCACAAGTAGAAACGTTGATTTAAGATATTTTTGAGCGTTTTCTTCAAATTCTGTGTCTGTCTGCTTTGGATTGGTGACATCAGAAATATTCAAAGTGAGGCGGAATTATGTTGACCTTTCGGGTCACGCTATTGTTTGTGACATCATGAATAATCACCATCCAGGCTTCATATGTGAATGAGAAATGTTAGGACAGTTCATCATGGTTTTACTGTCGCAAAGTATTTTGATTGACCAATCAAATGCTGTGTTACATCTCAAATGAATTAAAATCTGCTTTATATATGTCCACTTCCGAAATTATTCTGGGTAGTTTCCTTATAAAAGGAATGTGGTACAGGAAGATACGGTCCGTGTCTTGCTGTTATGAATTGAATATTGAACAAATATGCACTCCATCCTGACATTTAACATAATTGGTACTTTAACTTTCAATTCATTTAATTTTTCATTTGTTTTTCAGCATATGATTAAATACAGATACATACCTTTTTCACATGGAAAGAAGAAATACCAAGGGAAGGAAGACAGTGGGAAGGTGGTATCCTCCTAAGAACAATTGTGTGGCACACTGCAGCGTGATGAACAGTCCTGTGTATAAATTAAATTCATCTGTGAGAGAAGGGATGTGGAATGTGAGGAGTGACTAGGACTGACTATGGCTGGATCTTTCACAGGAGTCAAAATAATTATGTGTGACTGACTTTGAATGGAAAATTGACCTTGACCGTGAATACGGATATCATCACAGCCACTGACTATAATTCTGATCAACATTGCGACTATTTTACTTTGTCAAACATTAACATGAATTCAGATAGAAGTAAATAGTATACGTATTAACTATGTATTTTATGGATAACATGTTTTAAGTGGGTATGTAAACATTAAAAAATGTATATATATATACATGCTTTATGAATTAAAAGCTATATAATATATATATACATGCTGTACGTCTGTAGATATACATGCTGTATGTCTGTAGATATACATGCTGTACGTCTGTAGATAGACATGCTGTACGTCTGTAGATATACATGCTGTACGTTTGTAGATATACATGCAGTATATGTTATAAACATGCTGTAAGTCTGTAGATATACATGCTGTAAGTCGGGAGATATACATGCTGTATATGTTATAAACATGATGTAAGTCTGTAGATATACATGCTGTATATGTTATAAACATGATGTAAGTCTGTAGATATACATGCTGTATATGTTAAAAACATGCTGTAAGTCTGTAGATATACATGCTGTATATGTTATAAACATGATGTAAGTCTGTAGATATACATGCTGTATATCTGTAGATATACATGCTGTATGTCTGTAGATATACAGGCTGTAAGCCTGTAGATATACATGCTGTAAGTATGTAGATATACATGCTGTACGTCTGTAGATATACGTGCTGTATGTCTGTAGATATACATGCTGTAAGTCTGTAGATATACATGCTGTATATGTTATAAACATGATGTAAGTCTGTAGATATACATGCTGTATATCTGTAGATATAAATGCTGTAAGCCTGTAGATATACATGCTGTAAGTATGTAGATATACATGCTGTACGTCTGTAGATATACATGCTGTACGTTTGTAGATATACATGCAGAATATGTTATAAACATGCTGTAAGTCTGTAGATATACATGCTGTAAGCCTGTAGGTATACATGCTGTAAGCCTGTAGATATACATGCTGTATATCTGTAGATATAAATGCTGTAAGCCTGTGGATATACATGCTGTACGTCTGTAGATATAAATGCTGTATGTCTGTAGATATACATGCTGTAAGTCTGTAGATATACATGCTGTATGTGTGTAGATATACATGCTGTATGTCTGTAGATATACAGGCTGTAAGCCTGTAGATATACATGCTGTAAGTATGTAGATATACATGCTGTACGTCTGTAGATATACGTGCTGTATGTCTGTAGATATACATGCTGTATATCTGTAGATATAAATGCTGTAAGCCTGTGGATATACATGCTGTACGTCTGTAGATATACATGCTGTAAGTCTGTAGATATACATGCTGTATGTGTGTAGATATACATGCTGTATGTCTGTAGATATACAGGCTGTAAGCCTGTAGATATACATGCTGTATATCTGTAGATATACATGCTGTACGTCTATAGATATACATGCTATATGTCTAGATATACATGCTGTATGTCTGTAGATATACAGGCTGTAAGCCTGTAGATATACATGCTGTATGTCTAGATATACATGCTGTATGTCTGTAGATATGCATGCTGTAAGTCTGTAGATATACATGCTGTATGTGTGTAGATATACATGCTGTATGTCTGTAGATATGCATGCTGTAAGTCTGTAGATATACATGCTGTATGTCTGTAGATATGCATGCTGTAAGTCTGTAGATATACATGCTGTATATCTGTAGATATACATGCTGTACGTCTATAGATATACATGCTATATGTCTAGATATACATGCTGTATGTCTGTAGATATAAATGCTGTAAGCCTGTAGATATACATGCTGTACGTCTGTAGATATAAATGCTGTATGTCTGTAGGTATACATGCTGTAAGCCTGTAGATATACATGCTGTATATCTGTAGATATAAATGCTGTAAGCCTGTGGATATACATGCTGTACGTCTGTAGATATACATGCTGTACGTTTGTAGATATACATGCAGAATATGTTATAAACATGCTGTAAGTCTGTAGATATACATGCTGTATATGTTTTAGATAAACATGCTGTTAATCTGTTGATAAACATGCGTAAGTATGTATATATATACACGCTATAATAAGACTGTAGGTGTATACCTAGTGAATAACAGGCTGTATTTATTTTAGCTCACCTGGGCTGTAGGTCTAAGATAGGGAAGGGGGCATAGATATACAGGTGAACTGTACAGACTCTCTGAGCCTCTTGTTTAATTTCATCCTAGTGAACGACACAAACATACTTTCAGATAAAATCTGTTGGCGTTTCTGCTTTCCGAAATTCAAACACAATTTTTAAAACTCCTTTGCATTATAATGGTTTACTAAGTGTATTTCCAAATGTTAATGAATTGAGCTATGTTAGTTATTGAACTGACGTCATGATCATATTAGGTATTGAAAATGTTTAACAAAATAGCTCATGTTGAGGCTGTATTTGATGTATTTATCAGAACTGTGTCGGAACACATTAAATTTTTCAAAATTGTTAATTCTTTCCACACGTACAATATTTGAATTTTTTATAAAAATAAATTGGTAGTCATCTGCTGAAGTATTTGATCATATATGTATTTATGATTTCATGTCTTGTGAGTTCTCCATCTGAAAGAAAATATGAATGCCAGCCTAGTCTTTTTTATATATGATAAATATGAATGAATGAATATTGTGATTGTTTGCATATTTTTAAAAAGAAAAAGTATATGGTTGATTGAAAAATTAAAAATGCATGCATACATATGTTTTATAAGGTATCTCTGTTCAAGTTGTAAATGAATGCTTCACCTAATTTCAAAATGAAAATTTGCATAAATTATGTGATCTTCTTTCTCCATACTTCTTTTATTTCATCTCCGACTCACTCTTATTATCATTTCCAACCTATTTCTTGATTCAGATTTACAGCACCCTTTAATTCTGTAGGAGTTTAGCATTACAATGTCCTACTTATTTCTGCTTATATTCCAATATTTCAGACATATTGTTTTAAACATTGCTTTAGATAAAATGCTGTGAATCATGTTACATGATTTGAATAATGCATTAACTATAAATGTTAACACCTCATAAACAAAACAGAATAAGACTAAAAAGATGGCACTCAACCTTTTTACAGCAGCCCCCTCCTATTTATAGAAACATATATTTACTTGACCTAAATAAAGGGTTTGGGCAATATTGCAGTCACCAATATTATAATGCGATATCTGGTTTAATATCAACATACATTGTATGGTTTTGAAATGTCAATATATTGCAAAAACGTTTTGCCACTTAATTTTTGGTGGTTTAGCTTTAGGCACAGAAATGAAATAATTTTACAATTTTTTTTAAACAATGTTCAAACTGAATGAATGTTAATTAATCATATTAGATTTACATGGTGTGAAAACTCATTATTATATACAACATTTGTCGATTAACCATAAAAACTTCACTGGACTGATGCTCACTGTTGTTTATTCTATAGAAAATTGTTTTAAATGCAAATTTCTTTCAATAAAATATATTGAGATATATTGCTGTATTCCCTGAAATGTTGCGATAGAAAACTGCTTAAAATACTTTGTCTGCATGATTCATAGGGGATATACTTTATGATAAAAGGCCACCTTTTAAATTTTGGAAATCAAAATGGCTTCTATGCTCTCTGATTGGCTGAGACATAAACATCCTCAATGGTTTAATGGGTGTATTGCCTGTGGCTTACAGGTTAAGTTCAGTATTGGTTATTTCAACTTTTTTTTTATTTCTTAATTTTTAGCCCGCCATAATCAGATGGTTGGCTATTCAAATTGCCCTTCGTCTGTGATCATGAGTCCGTCAGTGTGTCGTCTATCTTTAAACAATTCTTGCTATAGCTTCATACTCAGAAAGTACTGGATAAACAAAATGGCTGACAGACGGCCATCTTGGATTTTGTCAGTTAAGGTTTGTTATCATTATGTCTCAGAAAGTACTTAGGGATCTTGCTCAACTTTCACATGGACGTTCCTCTTGCATTGGTCTGTTGTTTACTTTGAGACTTGGGAGAAACAAAGTTGCCGACCAGCAGCCATCTTAGGTTTTGTTGTTAAGGATTTTTGTTGCTTTTTCTCAGAAAGAATGGATCTTTCTTGAATTTAATATATATAGGTTCCCCTTGGTATTGAGTTGAACATGTTCACTTTTGAGACATGTTAGAAAAACAAAATGGCCATATTTGATGAGTAAAGGTTTTTTGTTTTGTTTTTCTCTATTTCTCTTTCTTAAATTTCATATGTATGTTACTAATGATAATTTATCTCCCAATTCAACATCTCACCTAATTATATAAGAATTGTAAATGTCTAGCATTTTGCGTATAGTTATGCAATTCCAATGCAGTAACATTTGCCATAGTGGGAAGTAACATGACGCTTCGAGGTTAAAATTAGTTTACAAGATTCCCATTTAGGATTTCCAACATTTGACTGGGTAATAGTACCTGGAGGGAAAACGAAGAGCAAAGAAGACAAAAGATCGTCTTTTGTAGATCTTATAAAGATCATTTCATGGTGGGCGACAAAATCCTTCTAGGATCTATTGATGCATGTATATTTGAAGCATTTTTTTCATTTGGAAAAAAATCATTCAAAAAATAGTATTATTGTGTATTTTATCCTAGGATAACTCATTATATGTGAGGGAAATACCGTGACTATGACATCCCCAGTTCTGATAGGCTCATAGCTGAACTGATTTCTACCAAAACAAATTGTATGGGGTACAATCTAGATCAAAAATTCAATCTAGGTACAAAGTATAATTGATTAAAAAAGAAAGTGATTGTACTCCAATTTGTTTTTCTGGGAAACATGTTTTTACATGAAAGCTTCAATGACCCAATTGTGAGACCTCTTCATCCAGTAGCATCCAGGATCCATAATTTGTTTTCTTTTTTTTCCCTTTTTTTTCCCCATTTTCTGAAAGAAAAGGTCTTAAATGGTACACAAAACATTAACTCTAAATCTAATATTTCTCTTGCAGAAATGTTCAGGATATAAGTGGAAATCCTATTAACATTTTCTTCTATGTATAGTAGATGTTTCTGAACATTTAACCCTTTCACCCCTATGCAACTTTAGTAGACTCTCTCATGCATTGATCTGAATGAGTTCATTATGGTCTACAGTGGTGAAAGGGTTAAAACTGATATTAGAATGAAACAAATCTACTTATCACATATTCTTTGTCGGGTGTTTGTTCTTGTTTGTAAATATTGGTGAATATTACATTTCTAGTACTTGTAATATTTTTTTCAGAATTCCATATTGTTCACTTTATTGTATTGGAGGAAAACTGGTCAAAGAAAATTGACACTTTTAATAGTTAATTTGAAAATACATTTATCAAAAAAAACAGTTAGAATATATCTTTGACTTAATGTTTTCTATATGTTTTGCTTTTGAATGTAAAGCAGAATATGCAAAAATGTATTTATTTAAACGTTTTGTCATTTGTAATTACTTAATCACAAGAGAAGAATGATATATGAATGTGACGAGTAAAAGTTACTTGTATATTGTTGTGTGTTTTATTTACTGAACCTAGACATTTAAAGATAATACTGTAAATCCTTGGGATTAATGTATCTGCACCGTTACATTGCTCACGTTGGGGCCCACGGTGGTCAAATGGTTAAGGCGTCTGACATTCTGCTACCACTAGCCCTCCACCACTGGGTCGCAGGTTCGATACCTATGTAGGGCAATCGCCAGGTACTGATTGTAGGTAGGTAGCTTTTTCTTCGGGAACTCTGGCTTTCCTCTACCACCAAAACCTGGCACGTCCTTAAATGACCATAGCTTTTATAGGAAGTAAAACACAAACAAACCAAACCAAGCACGGACATTTAAAGATGATACTGTAATTTCTTGTGTATTACCTGCTCTGTTACATTGCCTGCACATGTGAGCAAATAATGTTCAGGCAAAAAACATTTGCAGGTTCCCTGCTTCTGAAGATTGTCTGGGTTATCTGCTTCAAACAAAAAAACATACTCCTTGGATGCTAAGGTCTGGTAATCTTTTGAATTTTTTGTCATCTCCAAAACCACTAAAACCAATTTCAACAAAAGTTTGCAGGAAGGCTGCATAGTCAAAGACAAACCAAAATCGTGAATCATATAGATCTAAACCCCCAGGGGCCGGATGAGGAGGCAGCACTAAATGAGGTCAAATTGACAAAAAATTCAACCATCTTTACTCTTCATACCCACATTAGCTGGAATTGAATGCTCTTCATGGATTGAAACTTCCTCGATATCATAAGGTGATATTTACATTACATTTTTGAACTGTGTTACCCCAGACCAAGGTTTGCTTGAGTCAAACCCTCATTGATCGAAAGATCCCAAGATGCTTTATAAAAAAAGAGTTAATTTTGTTACCACTGGGTCAACCATTCCCCCTTTTGAAGGAGGTTAGATTATTATAGATTATATTTTTTGGTATATTTTGCTTACTTTCCGTGGGAAATGATTCAAATCTAGTTGGATTTAGTAGTATCTGATTTGCAGTTTGATGGTTTGAAAATTGATATCCTGACTCTCCCCTTGGGTCTTAGCTGTGGAATCCTCTCCATGGTTGGAATGCATGGTGCTTAGGTATTTTTTTCCCTGGCTTTTTGAAGAAAATCGGGGCATATTAATCTGGGCCCGTCCGTCTGTCATATTTCAGTTTCCGTGCAATAACTACGTTAATAATAATAGTCT